GTAATCCCATCAGCTGCCCAGAGAGAACATTCATTTGTCAGCCTGGGTGTCTTAGTTACTTTGCTATTGTTGTGATAAAACACTGTGACCAACGCAACTTACAAAAGAGAGAGTTTATGGTTTCAGAGGGCTAGAGTCCATGGTAGCTGAGCCGAGGCAGGGCAGCAGGAGAGTTCACATCTTGATCCACAAGCAGGAGGCTAAGAGCAAACACTGGGGATGGTGGGAGTCTTGAAACCTCAAGCTTGCTCCCAATGACACATCTCTTCCCCAGTGAGTCACCGTCTTCAACATGTCCACACATTCTAAAACTGGGACCATTCTCATTGAAATCTTTAAATCACTGGCCAGTTAGAACAGATTCCAGATCAGTCTAGGCAAATTGCTGTTAAATCACGTTTTTTTTCTTCTTCTTCTTCATTTTGTTTATTTTGAGATGGGGTCTTTGCTGTGTTACTCAGGCTGGTTTTAAATTTTTGAGCTCAGGGAGTGCTTCTACCTCAGCCTCCTTGACTTAACTCATGGATTTTTTTGTTTTTGTTTTGTTTATTTTTTTTAAAGATTTATTTATTATATATACAGTGTTCTGTCTGCATGTATGCCTGCAGGCCAGAAGAGGGCACCAGATCTCACTACAGATGGTTGTGAGCCACCACGTGGTTGCTGGGATTGAACTCAGGACCTCTGGAAGAGCAGCCAGTGCTCTTAACCTCTGAGCCATCTCTCTAGCTCTTAACTCAGGTTTTAACTATACAAGTGGTATCTACTGGTGGTAAAATTTTCACTTATGAAGTGAAAAGGTAAGTGTTTTTTTTTTTTTCTTCCTTCTTTCCTTCCCTTTTCCCTTTTCCGTGGTGGGGGTGGAGCTCAGGGTAGTCCAGCACGGCTAAGGCTGAGCCACACCCGACTTTCCCTGGGTTTTCCTTTGCAATCTCCTGTCTGCCTGTTGGTTAGGGTGCAGAAACACTGCTCAGCACTGAGGGACTATATAAGAGTGGTAGCGGGGTGTGATGGCGTATACCTTCACGTTCCGGCGCTCGGGAGGCAGAGGCAGAAGGATCTCTATGGCTCTGAGGCCAGCTTGGTCTACAGGCAAGTTCTAGGTCACCTGAAGCTACATACTGAGACTCCATCAAAAAGAAAAAGAAGAGAGAGGGGAGGGGGAGAAGTGGCTCTTCTCCTCACAATCTTGTTCTAGTTGTCAGAGCTAATAGAACGAGGCCTACAGTGCTTACATGTAAAGACTGTGGTAAATGAGGGGGGTAGAGTGCTCTTTGTTTTTGAAACCTAAATTCTAGTATTTGAGATCTCTCTCTCTCTTTCCTTCTGCATCTCTGTGTTGCTGTGTGCACGCCCGTATAGGTGCCCTCAGGCCAGAAGAAATGTCAGATCCACTGGAGTTGAATTTACAGACAGTTATGAGCTGCCTCATGTAGGTGCTGGAAAGACCAAGCTGGCCTCGAACTCACAGAGATCCGCCTGCCTCTGCTTCCCGAGGCTGGGATTAAAGTTGTGTGCCGCCACTGCCTGCCTTAAAATATTTTTAATTTCTCCATCCATGTAAGACTTTTTTCAAGATAGGGTTTCTCTGTGTAGTTTTGGTTCTTGTCCTGGATTTTGCTCTGTGGACCAGGCTGGCCTCAAACTCACAGAGATCTGCCTGGCTCTGCCTTCCGTCCGAGTGCTGGGATTAAAGGCATGTACCACCACCGGCTCCACATAAGACTTTTATGCAAGGTTTTTGTTTTTTTTTTCCTCCCTACCCTGTAAACCTTTTTGACACAAAGGTCCACTCCTCTAGTCTAGGAATTCGATGGCCTGGAGCAGTGACCAGTGCTTGGAGCAGTGACGCCTTCCCCTCCCCCCTCCATTTCCTGTGCACCAATTCTTTTCAGACTGAGTAAGATTAAATAAGACTGTGAGGTCAGACCCCAGCCAACGGGAAAAGACATAGTCACCATATGCACTAGAACAAAAACTAAAACATTTCTTTGTGGATTCGCTCTTTCAAGTCCTTTTTTTTCTTCTTCTTAGAGACAGGGTTTCTCTGTGTAGCCCTAGCTGTTCTGGAAATTGTTCTGTAGACCAGGCTGGCCTTCAACTCAGAGATCTACCTGCCTTTGCCTCCTGAGTGCTAGAATTAAAAGCCTGCGCTGTTGTAGAATATTATTTTAAGATGTGCTACATTTGTTTATGCTGTGGAGCATTTGTTTATGCTGTGGAGCATTTGTTTAATGCTGCAAAAATGTGTTGCATTCTTTTTTGTTTGTTTGTTTGTTTTTTGAAACAGGGTTTCTCTGTGTAGTTTTGGTGCCTGTCCTGGATCTCACTCTGTAGACCAGGCTGGCCTCCAACTCACAGAGATCCGCCTGGCTCTGGCTCCCGAGTGCTGGGATTAAAGGTGTGCACCACCGCCATCCAGCATGTTGCATTTGTTTAATTCTGTGAAGCTGTGTTACTTTGTCTAAAACACTTGATTGGTTTAATAAAGAGCTGAAAGGCCAATAGCTAGGCAGGAGAGAGGGATAGGCGGGGCTGCCAGGCAGAGAGAATAAATAAATAGGAGAAGAAAAAGAGGGATAGAGGAAGCAAGAGAGATCAAGAAGTGAGGAAAAAAGGGGTCAGTCACACAGCTAGCCATGGGGTAAGAGTAAAAGTAAGGCCGGGTGGTGGTGGCGGTGGCGGTGGTGGTGGCGGCGGCGGCGGCGGTGGTGGCGCACGCCTTTAATGCCAGCACTCGGGAGGCAGAGGCAGGCGGATCTCTGTGAGTTCGAGGCCAGCCTGGGCTACCAAGTGAGTCCCAGGAAAGGCACAAAGCTACACAGAGAAACCCTGTCTCGAAAAACCAAAAACAACAACAACAACAACAACAAAAACAGTAAAAGTAAGATTACAGACCTAAGAAAAGGAAAACGCCCAGAAGCAAAAAGTAGATGGGATAATTTAAGGAAAGCTGGCAAGAAACAAGCCAAGCTAAGGCCAGGCATTTATAAGTAATAATAAGTCTCTATATGGTTTATTTGAGAGCTGGATGGTGGCCCCCCCCAAAAGTGTAAAGAGTAAAAACAACCAACAATAAGGTTTGCCTTTCTTTGTGATCCTGAGCTTATTTCTAACATTGAGGAGCCCAGCTTCTTCCATCTATAAAATGGGATTCTAAGCCAGGTGGTAGCGCATGCCTTAAATCTCAGCTCTATGGAGGCAGAAGCAGATGGATCTCTGTGAGTTTGAGGCCAGCCTAGTCTATAGAGCGAGTTCCAAAGCTACAGAGAAACCCTGTCTTGAAAAACCAAGGAAAAAAAAAAAAGAAGGGATTCTAACTTAAGTTTTTTTTTTTTTTTTTGGTTTTTCGAGACAGGGTTTCTCTGTGTAACTTTGCACCTGTCCTGGAACTCACTTGGTAGCCCAGGCTGGCCTCCAACTCGCAGAGATCCGCCTGGCTCTGCCTCCCGAGTGCTGGGATTAAAGGCGTGCGCCACCACCGCCCGGCAAGTTTTTTTTTTTTTAAACAGGGTTTTCTCTGTTTAGTCCTTGCTGGTTTTGTTTGTTTTAAGACAGAGTCTTGGGGCTGGAGAGATGGCTCAGAGGTTAAGAGCACTGACTGCTCTTCCAGAGGTCCTGAGTTCAATTCCCAGCAACCACATGGTGGCTCACAACCATCTGTAATGAGATCTGGTGCCCTCTTCTGGCCTGCAGTCATACATGCTGTATACATAATAAATGAATAAATCTTTAAAAAAAAAAAAAGACAGAGTCTTATGCTGCTTAGGATGGCCTTGAACTTCTGATCCTCCTCCTTCTATTTCCCAAGTGCTGGAATTACAGGTTTAAGCCCCACTCCCCACATTGTTCATTTGTTTTTGAGACAAATGTCTTCCCATGTAGCATGGGTTGGCTTTGAATCCTCCTATTTCAGTCTCCCAAATACTGGGATAACAGGTTTCCACTACCACACCCATAAGAGTTGGTTTTTTTTTTTTTTTTTTTTTGAGACAGGGTTTCTCTGTGTAACTTTGTGCCTTTTCTGGAACTCACTCTGTAGCCCAGGCTGGCCTCCAACTCACAGAGATCCACAGGCCTCTGCCTCCCAAGTGCTGGGATTAAAGGCATTCCACCTCCCGGCTCATAAGAGTTCTTATAGGGTTTTTTTTTTTTCTCGTTTTTTTTTCGAGACAGGGTTTCTCTGTGTAGTCCTGGCTGTCCTGGAACTCACTCTGTAGGCTAGGTTGGACTCATACTCAGAAATCTGCCTGCCTCTGCCTCCCAAGTTCTGGGATTAAAGACATGAGCCACCAGACTCAACTCTTCCAGGATTCTTAGGAGGATCAAGTGAGAAGCTGAAAGCATTTGGTAGTATTTGAGGTAGGACTGAGATGTAGCTCGTAGTAAAGCTGGGTGGAGATGTGGGATGGGTGAAAAGTGCAACTTTGGTCCATGTGTGGACAGTGCTAGAAAAAGGCCAGAAAGCAGTCCTTGCCGGCTGACGTAAAAGCAGAGTGGATTTAAAATGGACAGACACATCCCTGGGAAACATGACTGATGTGTGAGCTTCAAGGCGCCTCTATTTACCTTAAGGCTAGTAGTCCTAGCAAACTGTGACTTCACACAGTTTTTGGTCTGAGTTAACTTCCCAGGCAGAAAAGCCACACCCACCAAGTCTCCAGCAGGGCTGGAGACTCAGAGAAGACAAGGAAGCAGTGGGACTGCTTGGGGTAGGAGTCAGCGGGTTTTCCAGGGCTCAGGAGGAAGGATCAAAACGGCATAAAGCAGGCCATTGGCAGCTGAGAGTTTAGAGGAACCCTCCAAAGCTGAAAAGACAAGGCACGAGCCTTCACAGCACACACATGCTACAAGTTCGGGTTGAGGAAATTTGGTCAGTGTGCTCGGCCTCTGTTAAAAGGAGAGATGGCGCCCCCTGGGAACTGTGCTGGGTAGAGATGGTTGGAAGAGGGGTGGGAGTTAAGATGGGGGTAATCTACTTGTCAGTTTTCTTCTCACAGAAACTCACTGTCCGGCATGATGGATTCCTGGGCTTCCAAAACGATGGGGCTGGAGGGGACCTCGAAAAAATAACTGCCGTCACATGCCCCGTACCAGAACTGGTTACTTTCTTGAACACTTAACGCTAACTGCTGGGAGGTGAGTATTATCACCCCCCCTTTTCGGGTAAGAAACTGAGGTTTGATGACTTCCTAAGGCAGGAAGGAGATTTTGTATATTTCAAAGTCTTCTTCCTTTGGTCTGCCTGACGTGTAAGGTATCGATTTGCTAAGGTTTGGGGAAGGAGCATCGTGTATTATGTGCCCAGGCTTTCTAAGGGACAAGAGCGTGACCACGCCTCCCTTGTCGCGACAATGTTGGTTATGGTTGCTTTCTTTTAAAACATGAAATCGTCACTATCCGAGAAAGCGGACATCCTATACTCCCTGATCACCCCGATGTTTCTCTCTCACCCGCACTGATTCCCACAGGTGACATCCGTTCTCCACTGGAGAATGAAAGCCTGAGACTACATTTCCCTGCAAGCCCTTTAGAAAAGAAGGCCAGGAGGAAATAGACTTTCCGTTTCCGTTCGCTTGCAATTTGGCGTGTTCGCGGTGATACATATTTCAACACTAGCATCCTTTCTCTGTACAGCTAAAGAAGACACTACATACCCCAGAAGGTACTGGCACCGAGGGCAAGCGACTAGGTTGCCATCTCGACAGCAGTCCTTTCCTACTTATCCTCAGAGAATAGTCTTAGCCGTTGGACTACAAATCCCATAGCATCGTCTGCTCTTTCACCCGCCATCTTGGCGGTAGTCCCCGCCCCTCTCACTTCCATTGTCTCCACAGAAGATAAAAGAGGGGAGCGGGGAAGACTACAATTCCCGGCCGGCTCTGCACCACTGAGTGCGGGATTTTGATAGTTCAGGCGGGCGAGGCGCTCCAAGTGCTAGAATGAAGCGACCAGGCAAGGTTAGGTAGCCTGCCATCTTTATGGTAGTCTCTTTATGCTCCTGGTTCTGGCATTCTTAAGGAACACAGGAAAGCTAGAAAACTACTATTCCCATCCCACTTCATAAGCTCGACTTATTAGGTATACGCCCCTCGTTCGCCATCTTGCTTGTAGTCCTCGTTCCTTTTCACCTTTCCATTGTTCCTGACGAGTAGAAATGGCAGCGGGAAGGCAGCAGATGGACTGCGACTCCCGTCAGGTACCACACACGCGGAGGGTTGTGGACCAGAGGGCGTGTGAGTGCCTGGAAAGGAGGTCGGGTCGGGGGAAAAGGCCATCTTGTTTGTAGTCATCGTTCCCGCTCCTTCTCTATGTCCTGCTACGGGGAATCTCGGGTCAACTGGACTATAATTCCCGCCATGCTCGGCTCCCAGCGTGGCATGCTTTTCGCCATCTTATTTGTAGTGCCGGCTGGCCCCAGCATCCCATTTTTCCCACGCTAGCGCCAGAATTTGCAGGACTACATCTCCCGTCGTGCTTTGCACGCGCTCGTCCTGGAAAGTAGAGGTGGTGGAAGAAGGAGGGAGAAGGGGGCGGGGTTCCTCTGGGAGAAGGAGGGAGTAAAAAGGAGGAGGAGGTGGGAAGGAGGGAGGGGAGAGGGAGGAGAGGAGGAAGGAGGAAGGAGCTGAGGAGGGATGAGAGCGGCGACCAGGGCCCGGGGCCGAAGCAGCGCGAGGCTAGGGGTCTAGGGGTGCTGAGACACCCCAACTGCCCCCACCCCCTTCCTGCCTCTGCCCCATCCTTTCCTTACACCCTCCCATTTTAGGAGAGGATTTATTCAAATTTTATTTAAATCCCCATATCTGGAGGGTCGCGCGTTTGAAGGGGGGAGGGCGGGGGCGCGCGCGCAAGCTGGGGGGGGCGGGGCCGGAGCAGCTTCCTTCACCCCCCTCTGCGCGCCCTGTCTCTGTAGGTCAGGGGGCCGCAGTACAGGGGCGGGCCCAGGGGAGGGGGGCAGGTTGCAGTGACCCCCCCCTCCCCGGGAACCGGCGGTGGGCGGGGTTTGAACCCCGGAAACGGTGGGGGGCCCCCGGGTCTGTCCCTGGACCCCTGGGCAGTTGGAGCTGGGAAGGGGCCAGTTAAGGGTCGGGGGCTTTGGGGAGAGGTGGGGGTGGGGAGCTGAGACTCGTACCCGGGACTGAGTGGGGCCCGGGCAGAAGCTGAGCACCCTGCGCCCGAGGAGCCCCCGTTGGCCTGGGGGGGCTGAGGGACTGAGCCCCCCAGAGCAGGACCTCCCCCTGGAAGGGCCGCGCCGCAGCCCGTGGGAGGGCCTCGCCCCCGGCGCTCCCCATCTCCACTCGCTGCTGTCCCGGCCTCCGCCGGAGGGAGGGGCCGAGCGCCCTCGGGGGGCCGTGGACCCCGGCGTTCTGAGCGTTCCGCGCCCCGCGCCGCCCGGCCCCCCCGCCGCCGATGGCCGCCGACCCGCCGGGAGCTGCCGAGAAGGGAGAGATGGCTCCCGGGACACGTGTGAGGTGGGTTCATGCGGCTCCTCCTCACCCCCAGACCTGGGCAGCTCCCACTCCCATTCATCCTCAGCCTGGCCTCTCCCTGCCTTCCCCGCCCCCAGCCTCACCCTCCCTCTGCTCCAAACTCTTCTCCGACCTTCTTTCCTCTAACCTCCCAACCCTAGGGAACTGGCCTTCCTTCCCCGACCCTGCTGCCCCTTGCAGACCTCCCCCTCCATCCCCCGCCTCCAGTCGCCGCCCTCTAGGCCCCTCCCCTGGAGTGCTGGAGGGCCCCATACCCTGTGGATGGTCTGGAAGTCCTTGGAAAGGGAGAAGCCAGGGGGCGGCAGGTCTAAGACCGGCTGGGGAGAGACCCCTCCAGGCTTGCAGAGTCCATGTGGGATTTGAGAGGATCTGGTTTCCATGGGCAGGAGAGCCCCAGGGATTCCAGACAATTAGGGATGAAAAGCAGCCTGGTAAGATGTGGGGTAGTGGGGGGAGATCTAAAACCGAGCCCATCTTGAATTTTGTTGAGATGTTAGGCTGGCTTGTAGAAGAATCCCAGGGAACCCGGGAGATTACCCAGGCTGCCTGAGGGATCCTGTTGGATCTCTTGGAGCAGACGACTTCTGTGTGGGCTGAGAAGGGGCACTTAAGCATCTCAGGGGTGTCAGCCCTGGGAAATTGAGAGCACAGTGGGTCATTAGAAATGGAGTGTGGATCTCGTTAGAGTATCCAGATTTGAAAGGTTTGAATGACTAGTACCCATGAGAAAGAGAAAGGAGAGAGGGAGGAAGACCCTGCAGTCGGAGGCAAATCTGTGAGCATGGGATGTTGGGGTAACAGGTATGAGTTGGGAGCTCCCTGAGGTAATGCTGCAGACTTGAAGCCCTTTCCAGGAACCTTGGCTTGGGATGTTAGAGGAGGGGCTCCAGTGTCCCTCCTTCCAGGGGTTGGGAATAATAAGCAGGAGGGAATGTTAGAGGAGGGAGGTCTTGGAGAGGGAGTGGCCCTCTACGCAGGACACACTGGAGGGCTGACCTTCTTGTCTCGAGGGTAGAAATAGCTCTGCCCCACCAGAGGTCCGAGAGCTTGCGGCCAGGATTCTCGGAGGCCAGCTTTCAGCAGGCCTCTCTGACCTTACCTCCATCTGCCCACAGCCCTCGGCGTTGCTGACGCCCCCAATGTCGTCGAGCAGCCGGGGGCCGGGGGCCGGAGCGCGCCGACGCCGAACCCGCTGCCGCCGCTGCCGGGCCTGTGTGCGAACTGAGTGCGGGGACTGCCACTTCTGCCGAGACATGAAGAAGTTTGGGGGGCCCGGGCGCATGAAGCAGTCGTGCCTGCTCCGGCAGTGCACTGCGGTGAGTCTTGCCCCGCCATGGCGGGTACCTTGGAACCCCAGGCATATTTCCCCAGAGCACCCTTAGTAGTCCTGGCCTGAGCACTCTCTGGGTGTCTAATGGCTGCCTCCCGGAATGTCCGGCTCGGAGGTGAGTCTTGCCCCGCCATGGCGGGTACCTTGGAACCCCAGGTGTATTTCCCCAGAGCACCCTTAGAAGTACTGGCCTGAGCACTCTCTGGGTGTGTAATGGCTGCCTCCCGGAATGTCCGGCTCGGCGGTGAGTCTTGCCCCGCCATGGCGGGTACCTTGGAACCCTAGGCGTACTTCCACAGAGCACCATTACATTAGTAGTCCTGGCCTGAGCACTCTCTGGGTGTCTAATGGCTACCTCCTGAAAGTCTGGTGCACGCAGTGAGTCTTGCCCGCCATGGCGGGTACCTTGGAACCCCAGGCGTACTTCCACAGAGCACCATTACATTAGTAGTCCTGGCCTGAGCACTCTCTGGGTGTCTAATGGCTGCTTCCCGGAAAGTCCGGTGCACGTGGTGAGTCTTGTCCCCCATGCGGGTACCTTGGAACCCTCAGCACCATTAATGTTAGTAGTACTGGCCTGAGCACTCTCTGGGTGTCTAATGGCTGCCTTCCGGAATGTCCGGTGCACATGGTGTGTCTTGTCCCCCATGCGGGTACATTGGAATCCTCAACACCATTAATGTTAGTAGTACTGGCCTGAGCGCTCTCGGGGTGTCTAGTGGCTGCTTCCCGGAATGTCCCTTAGAGGTGCTGTTTGTTCATTCACTTCCTGTCTTCCTTCACTGATTTGTTTAAATGTCTGATTTTGTCTTTGTCACAAAATGGGGTGGGGGGCGCACACACAGAAGAATCTCCCGCAGGTTTGTAGAGAGCTCAGCACCAGCTGTATGCCCCGGCCCGAGTGTGTGTGTAAGAAGAACCCATCTCTACAATGGAGAATAGCTCTTGCCTTTGTCTGGCCTCTTTCACACATCTTTGGGTATCTTGAACTTGAGGCCCGGACCCCCTTCTTGTAACCTTGAGCAAATCACTGAACTTCAAGAACCTTCTCTGTGAAATGTTTCCTTTGCTGAGTTTCAGAGATTAGACGGGAGTATGCTATGAATGCCCCTTTGAAAGGCCCAGCACACAGTAGTTATCGGGGAAACGTGGTTTCTTCCATGCCTCCCTCATCCTTTGAGCAGCCCTGGACACCAGAATGGCCATTCCCCAGTAGCCACAAGGAAGCGGCTTTATCCTGCACACAGATCACTGCCTCCTCCTCGTCCTCCAGCCACTCATTCCTGCTTGCACTTCACCCTCATGGCCTTTTCTTCCTTTGTCCCCAACCCCTTGCCTTACTTTCTGATCCTGCTCCTTGATCTAGATCCATGGCCTTCAGCATCCCAGATACGATTCAGTGTTACCATTGTCCTCCCTAAAGTCACATTGTCTGGAGACTGCTGCCTTTTCCCCTTAAGACTAAGCAGCTGTGACTTTACATATTCCCAGGATCTTTCCCTAACTGGTCTTCAGTTCCCTAACTGTGGGCTTCAGGTTCACTCTTTGGACTGCCCACTGAACAACCTTAGAATTACCCCAGCTGCTCTTCGGTCTTACCCATTCTGAGCATTGCCACTTGCCTGTCCTCTCTTTACACTCGAAGCCAATCATAATTTCAGGAGCACACGAGCCTTGTGTGACAATCCATTAATGACCGTAGCTGTGTCTCCAACCCCCACATGCTTTGTCTTGTTCTTGACAATGGTCCTGCAAAGGAAAGACCCCTCACCCCATTTTAAAGATGCAAAAAATCAGTTGCTGAAGGGCATCCTGGCAAAAGGACCAAATTAAGGATTTGGCCTGTGGGATCTCAACCTACCTCATCCTACAGCTCACACTGAAGAAAGTCTACTCTGTAGCTTGGTTTTGGGGTCTCTGATGCCTCCTCTTTCCCAACAGCCCGTGCTCCCACACACAGCTGTATGCCTCTTGTGTGGGGAGGCAGGGAAGGAGGATACAGTGGAGGGAGAGGAAGAGAAATTTGGTTTGAGCCTCATGGAGTGTACAATTTGCAACGAGATCGTCCACCCTGGCTGCCTGAAGGTGATAACTCTGGGGACCCTGCAGTCTCGGGTGGGCTAGACTATCAGGGAGCAAGAAAGTAGGCCAGTATATTCTGGGCATATACTGGCACCTTCTTCTGTTCATTCTCTGGTTTCTTGCCTATAGATGGGAAAGGCTGAGGGTGTTATCAATTCCGAGATTCCCAACTGCTGGGAGTGCCCCCGATGTACCCAGGAAGGGCGGACAAGCAAGGTAAGGCAGGGCCGGGATAGGGGCAGGGCTGGGGATCGCGAGCTAGCTGGGGCCTCATCCCCAGCTTACACTTTCCAGGATGCAGGTGAGGGTGCAGGGCGCCGTAGGGCTGACAATGGTGAGGAAGGCGCTAACCTAGGGGGTGGATGGAAGCTGACAGAGGAGCCGCCACCGCCACCACCCCTGCCCAGAAGAAAGGGACCCTTACCTGCTGGCCCTCCCCCTGATGATGTGCCTGGGCCCCCCAAACGGAAGGAGAGGGAGGCGGGGAATGAGCCCCCCACCCCAAGGAAAAAGGTGAGCGGAAGGGTGAGGCTGGTCTAGCCCATGGGATTCTGGGAGCTGTAGTCTTAGCTGGTGGGTGCGTTGGTTCTGGAGCCAGGTCCTGCTTGACCTGGGGAGCGGAGGTAATGTGGGTTCCCCGAGAGGTGTTTGGGAGTTGTATCCGGGCTGTGGATGGAGCATGCTCACTGAAGAAGAAATACAAGTGTGAGGTAACTGGTACAGGCCAGGAATCTGAGAGACCTGGAGAATTAGGGAGGAGCTACAGAGCATGCTCAAACTACTACAGAGGCGGAGGGAAGGGCTCAAAAGAGCCTGAGGGGGAAGAAAGGAGCTGAGGAGCATGCTCAGTAAGCCAACACACTGATTACAAGGTTAGCTGGCTGAACAGTCTTCCTGGGATGGGGGCTTCTGGGATTTGTGGTCCAAGAAGAGGACTTGGACCTTAGTTTGGTAGTCAGTAAGGGCCTCTAATGGGGTCTCTCTCCTTCCCCGTATCTCCTTCTTGCCCTGTAGGTGAAAGGAGGCCGAGAGAGGCACCTGAAGAAGGTGGGTGGAGACGCCTGCCTCCTCCGAGGAGCGGACCCGGGCAGCCCCGGCCTTCTGCCCCCCAGGGTTCTGAATCCGAGCCAGGCCTTCTCATCCTGCCACCCTGGGCTCCCTCCCGAGAGCTGGGAGGTGTGCCGGGGACCTCCCCCTCCATCCTTCCTTGCCCCACCCTCTGTGTGGAGACTAAGATCTGCCCCCTTCCTGCTCACTTTGTCTTACCCTAACCCCACATGGCCCCTGAGGACTCCTGGAAAGAGTTGGGTGGGATAACAGACTGGGTCCTGGTTGTAGGAACCCCTGATTTCCAGCGG